CACGGGCCCAGTAGTTGTGGTGCTCGGGCTTAGTTACTCCGTGATGTGTGGGGATCTCCCTGGACCAGGGTATTAAACCTGTGTCCCCTGCATTGCAAGGCGGATTCTTAACCACTGGACCACCAGGGAAGTCCTATCCTTATTTATACTGGATCTTCAGATTGGCAGATATGACTGAGATATTCTTGTTATTTCTAAACAGGCAGATAGTCCTCCTTGCAGAGCTAACAAGATACTCTCACCTAGTAAGATATGATTTTTAAGGGAAGATTTTTGCTCTTGGCGCTGTGAGAAAAAAAAAAATTCTGGTTCTATTGACATATTTATGGTTTTCTACGGGGCTTCCCTGGTAGCTCAGCTGGTAAAGAATCTGCTTGCGGTGCAGAAGACCTGGGTTCGATCCCTGGGTTGGGCAGATCCCCTGAAAGAGAGGGCATGGCAACCCACTCCAGTATTCTTGCCTGGAGAAGCCCCATGGAGAGTGGAGAGTGCATCCATGGGGTCACAAAGAGTCAGGCATGACTGAGCAACTAAGAACAGCATGTGTTTTCTGTACCATCACTTGTTTTGCCCTAAGTGTAGTGTAGCTAGGTTTTTGTGTAAGAGATTTTCTGTCTTCTGGTGTTTGTGGTCTGGGGGTTTAAGTGTTAAACCAAGTCGTTTATCAGTATCTGGTGATGATTTAAGGTGGGGTTGCTGTTGCTGAGCACAGCATGTCACTGTTAGGTAACTCTCCTAGTAAGCTCTTAGTGGGTTTGATCCGTTTGAGTCCCCATTTTCCTTCTCAGCTGACTGGTTTCAGTCTTTGTCAGCCTCGGACTTGTGACCTGAAGCCAGGTCCTCTGAATCACACCACGTTTCTCTGTAACCTTTATTGGCAGAGCTTAGAACTGTCTAATTCATGACCTCAATCAAACTGACTCGTTGTGACAGCTGTTTTCACAAACCTCCTGGTGTATCAGGTAGGGCTAAGATCAGATCGTTTCTCTAGAATATGTCATTTTATTAATATAATTGGATAAAGCAGTTACCATATGAATTGCTTTTTATGCCCTATAAATTAGCAATTAAGGATAATTACCACATCCATGAAAGTTTGCAACATGAATCAGTCCAGCTTTGGGGGAACAATTACCCATGACAGTTTCCTGTCAATCTTAACGTTATTCTTCTGAAATTAAAATTCTGAATAACAAACAGTATTTTACTTGTTTATTGTTTATCTGACTCCCCCCACTAGAATGTCTGCTCTCCAGGAGCAGACATTTTTGTCTGTTTTAGTTCACTCGAGGCATTTTACTTGCCTAGAACAATGCCTGGCATATAGAAGGCACTCAGTATATTTGTGTTGAACGAATAAATGGATTAATCAATGGGTAAAATGGTAAGTAATCAACTTAGATGTCAGATCTAGTGACTTATAGAAGAAAAATGACTTATTTTCATGCCATATGAGATTCATGTTAAGTTTGATACATAGATCGTTGGTCTTTTTCATATTTCACTTAAAGACATTTAAAATATTTTCCCCCCAAAAGACATTTCCCTTGGCTTTATTCCTTAGGTAAACTTAGGCAAGAGAAGACCATTAAGTATTTTTATTGAGAAAGAACTTGAATAAAGACTTTTGACAAGTGAGACAGGTGGAGGGAATTGAAGAGTACTTGTAAGATGATGAAATGGAGAGAGCAAAAAAATGGAGATGGACTGTGTTTTGACCTATTTCAGTTTGCATAAATAATAGGAAGGAAACAAATTCTTTCGATGCAGACAGGTCTCTTCCTTCCATGATGGTCTGTAGACAGTTTTTTCCTATCTCTTCACTAAGGCTGTGGCCAGATGAATGACAGGGAGAGAGTTTCAGAGGAAAGATGTAGGCATGTTAGTCCTCTCCTCCTGGGGGAGCAGGAATAGCAGTGCCCGCCACAGGGAATATCTGTCCTTGGAAGGTCGAGTTGCTGGTTGTTGCTTATGTTGCACCTTCAGTAGTATTGGGTCGGCCAAAAAGTTCATTTGGAATTTCCCGTAAGAGCTTATAGAAAAACCTGACGAACTTTTTGGCCAACCCAGTAGGTGTTGCACAGCCTATAAAGTCAACTCTCTAAGATTAATTCAAATGTGGACTGTTGCCTGAATGGCCTATTTGGTGCAAAGAAAGCAAGGAGGCTCTGAAGCAGTCTTCAGAATAGCTTTCAAGGTGAAATGGGGGAGTGTACAAAGGAGATTTTTCAAAATTCCTTCATATAAATTATTTACTAAAGCTCTTTATGGGGCTGGGATAATAGTTATAGACCCATTGTCCCCCAAGAGTCTCGTTTACTAGATTGAGGGCGTTAGAGGCAACACCTTGCTGGTATTTAAGGAGAATAAGAGGGTACCTATCAGCCATTGTGTTCTTAAGCTTTTCAGCAGGCTTTGTCAGGCTTGAGAGATAAAGATTGTTTCTTAGCTGGGGTCAGTTCTCATTGCTCAGCTACAGCGAGCATCTAGCTGGGCTTTCCAAGACGTACTAGGTCTTCTGGGGGAGCTTTATGAGTTTTCGTGAAAACTTGACAAGAATCGAGGAGTTGGCCTTTGAGACAGGAGCTCTGCTTTGTACGCTGTGTGCTGCTCAGTGCTGTTGGAGACTGTACGTGGATGATTTCAAGGCAGGCATTCAACAATGTGCTGTTCATCTGCCACTTGGTGAAGAATTGACTGTAAATGAGTCACTTCCAAGTTCTTTTCTTTCTTTGGCCCTTCTCATTTTAGGAACATCAGCCATCCTGTGCTGTGTATATCTGTTCTTTGGCTTTACTTTGTTTGAGGGCTTGTCTTTTTAGAGTGTCAGATCCCTGGGATGATGCCCAGGGCATGGGTTCTCAAGAAAGGCTGTTTCGTTGGAGGCTGTAAGGTTTTGATTGCTGGTAACACTTGATCACAGAGGATAAAAATGGAAAAATGACTTATAACTAGATAAGGAAGGCAGTCTTTTATTATGTGTGTCTTGGTGTAGCCAGGGAGGTGTAGACCGTGGTGCAGACGAAGGTCTATGTGCTTAAGTTATTGGGGATAATGAGATGTTACTATCTTTTTTTTTTTTAATAAGAATGTCTGTATTTTTCTGACAGTTTCTATAAGAAAGTAGGATAGATTCATACAGTGGAATACTGTACAGCCACAAAAGTGAATAGTGTTTTGGCATGAATGGGTTTTACTAAGAAAGGGCAAAAGAAGCAAGTCAGTGATGGGTATACATGCTGTCAACTAAGTGTATATAGAGATTAGAAATAGGAGATGAGGAAGCACCATATTGCATGGAAACATACACAAATGGTAACACTATAGAAAAGCAAGGGAGAGGTTATCAGGGTAGTTAGAATAGAGGTGGTGGTCAGCAAAAGGGACCGCGAGTTAAGAGGCACATGGCATCCGAGGTCCTGCCAGTGTTCTAGTTCTTCTTTTATAAATTTAGCTGCAGTGGGTCCCCCTTGCAGCCAGGGGGGTCTTCACTAGTTGTGGCACTTGAGCTTAGCTGCCCCATAGCATGTGGGATCTTAAGTCAGAGATCAAACCCACGTTTCCTGCATTGGAGGGTGGATTCTTCACCACTGGACCACCAGGGAAGTCCTCAGTGTTCTAGTTCATAGCTTGGGTGATGGTTACTTAGTTGTTGTTTCTTATTCTTTAAGATGTAATGGGTTGGCCAAAATGTTCGTTCAGGTATTTCCATAAAACCTTATGGACAAACTCAAAGGAACTTTTTGGCCAACCAAATGCACATATGTCTAATGTTCTTTATTTGTATTACTTGCCCACAATTTAGAGCGTGAGTTTGGAGAGGCGAGGGAGACAAGTCAGCTAAGCAAATGACTATTGAAGTGGCTTCCCTTCCTATTCTTTCTTTTTTCCCTCTGAGTCAGCTTCTTTTCCAAGAACTGTTTCCTTTACAGAAAACTCCGTGGTCTAGTCTGCCGTGAAGTTCTACACTGGCAGGGCTCTCCAGCCTTGGAGAGCTATTTGTTCAGCAGCTATTTGTTTTGAAACATGGGATTAAGCCTTTCAGCTCAAGCAAAGGCACTGCTCAAGCTTCCCTGGTGATGAAATTGTGTAAAGAATTTGAATAGCTTGGGTAATGTTTATCATTTTTGCTGTGTGCCTTTTCTTCTCTTCTGCCACGTGAAACCCTTTCTCATTCCGCCCTGCAAATATTTGAAGTGATTTTTAGAGCTCTTTGCATAGTTGCAAGTGGGTGGTATGCTAGACATCCTTCTTCAGAGAGAGGGAAGGAACTATTGGGCTTAGGAGCCCAAAGGTCCTTCTTGGATTGCCCTGTTTTCATCACGGAGGTCATGAGTTTTCTAGAGGCTCTCCTTTAGCCCTGACTCTGAGCACTGTGTTTCTCTTTTAGCCCTGACTCTGAGCACTGTGTTTCTCTTTTAGCCCTGACTCTGTGTTTCTCTTTTAGCCCTGACTCTGAGCACTGTCTGCAGAGGAAGTATTGAGTCCTGGACTCTGGCCCTCACTACTTGCACGTTAGCACTGGGCACCTCGGGTCCTTCCTGCTGGTGTGGGTGGCGTGTCAAGGCTTCTTCCTTCAACATCCACTTTTCCCTGGCTTTCTTCTGTTTGCTTTTCCCATTGTAGAACAGCTTGTGTGGATGGAGACATTAGCTTCTTTATCATTGAAAAGAACACAGGTGGTGGTCTTGCTGGGATGAAATTACAAAGGCTCTCTCCATGACTCACATGCCTCCTCACCCTCCAATCTTTTCTGACTTTTCTACCATCTTGTTTAATTCTCATTTGTATTTCTGGGTCAGTCCCTTTAGAATCGAGCCCAAGGTTTTATGTAGGTATTTCTCTTAAAAAATTGAAAGTAATCTTGTTCATTCAGTCATTCAATAAATGTTTGAGTGCCGTGTACTGTTCTAGATGTTGGGGATACAGTAGTGGACCATATCTGTTATGGCGATGTTACCTTTCAATGGCTAAATTTTTCTGTTTCTACCCCGACCTAGGTGCTCTCAGGGTGCGCCATCATTGTCCGCGGACAGCCTCGTGGGGGGCCTCCTCCTGAGAGGCAGATCAACCTTAGTAACATTCGCGCTGGAAACCTTGCCCGCAGGGCAGCTGCCACACAACCCGATGCAAAAGACACCCCGGACGAGGTAGGTGCTTTTCCTCACGAACCTGTGGACCCTGGTGATAGTCCAGTCTCCTCCCTGACTGCACATTTGGTGTACTTTCTTTTCTGTATATTTGAGTATTTTTATGTCACAGGAACAGTGATAGACCCACAGTGGCATGCCTCAGTTTGTGTATTCACTGCCTTTAATCCCAGTAACCCCCCTTCTCTTTTCCTCATATAACCCCCCTTCTCTTTTCCCATAAGTTTAGAGCCTTTCCAGGTTTATCAGCCTTTTCAGGTTTACCCTCTTTCTCTTAGAACAGGTTAGAATATTTCCTAGGTAGTCTCAGCTCTTTGAGGTTGGTATTGGTTATGACCCAGCTCCTTTATTTATGTTTAAATCCTTTACCTTCAAAATTCAGAGGGATGCACAGCAAAAAATCTAGTTCATCTCCCTGGACATTACAGGTGTTACTATAGTCTTGAGTCTCCAGAGACATTTACCGTCCATATAAGCAGGCATTTAAGGAAAAACATGTAGTTTTTTCATCTGTAATAAAAAGCATTATGTTGGACTTAAGATAGTGAAACATTGTTCAGGAAATAGAGAAAAATCATCCCCAATTCTGTCATCAACAGTTAGATTCTTGGGATAATGACTAAATAGAAGATCAGTTATTTTCCATTGGTCTTCTCTCAGTAAGCACAAGTATTGGAGATAACCGTACTGTATATCTCAGGGTTGTTCAGTGAGGATTAAACAAGACAGTGGAGAATACTTCACATGGGTCTATAAGCTACTTAACAGATGTTAGCTGTGGTCATCTATATGTGCTCAGTCACTCAGTCGTGTCTGACTCTGTGACCCTATGGACCATATCCCACCAGGCTCCTTTGTCCATAGGATCTCCTAGACAATAATACTGGAGGGAGTTGCCATTTCCTCCTCCAAGGGATCCTCCTGATCCAGGGATCAAACCTGGGCCTCCTGCATTGCAGGCAGATTCTTTATGGCTGAGCCACTGGGAGGTATGTGGTCATCACTGGTGCTGTTTAATTTCTGCAACTACAAACACTTCTCATACGGTTAGCCCAAGTACTGAAGAGTACATCTCTCTCAGCACTTTTCAGATTTTGGCTGCTAAGTGCTTTTCTTGACCAATGTTTTGAATAGTTCTTTCCTTTCAGTTTTGTGTTGTGTAACAGCTTGCCTGCTTTGCACAGAAGTGTTGAGCCTGGTTGGCTAAAGCCAGTCAAGCTTATTTCCCCAGAAGGAAGAAGCAGGGTCGCCTCTAGGAAAGAAGGGTTGGGTTTTCATTTCCTGTTTTGTGGGTGAGGATCGAGGCCAGTTGGAGCTGGTTCTAAAATCTCTTAGCTGTAGCCTGTGCAACGGTACAATGAAATCTTACCAGAACTATCCCAGCTGTAGGAACACCATGTAATCTGACCCCCACTCTCATTAGTTTCTTATATTTCTATAGCCAAGTTAGTGGGTTTTTTGTCTCTTCCAGACCAACTCAGTTTCTCCTAGCAACTCTTGAGAGGTCCCTGTGACATGAAGTGTTAGAAACCTGCAAAGTTCACCCTTTTTCAGCCATAGTCACTATTTCTCTGTCTAATGGTCTAGTCTCTCCCTGCCTTGCTGTGATATGATTTCCTCCTACCATGCCCTTGAAGTTTCTCTGCCTCAGCTAAGGAGTGATGGCAACCAGTAACCCAATTATGAAAACACCCCCAGCTTTTATCGAGGACTAGAGATTCTGCCTTCTTAAAAATCTTTCTTCGCCGTTCTTGAAGCTTCATTACAACTGCCATTGTTCTTTGTTCAGCTCTCAATGTGTGCTTGGAATATTGAGAGAACAGTCTATCTGCCTTCATTTTCCTGTCCTCTAATCCTTTCACTGATACTGTTAGATCTTTTTGAAACATAATATCATTTTTTCCCTGACTCAGTGTTACTCCCAGGTATTTCAGCGATTCCTCATCCCTGCTTGGACAAATGTAAATGCCTCAGCCTGGGGTACAATCCCTTCTGTAATTGGGCTTCTAGTCTTCTCTCACTGAACCCACTCTGGGATGTGAAGTCCCTACCCTGAAGAAGTATTCAGGTCTCCTAACAGGCCACCCAAGTCCTGCTGGCTTGTGGCGTGGCTCAGGCTGCCCCCTCCAATTGGGAGTTCCTTCTCCATCTTGTGCCCTGGTGATCACCTATCGTCTGTTAAGATCTAGCCCCCTGAGAAGCCCCTCCTGACATCTCCTTTCATTATCCCCTTTTGGTGCTATCATCCTGTTCAGTGCTCCTGTGTCTCTTTACTAGATCATCAACTTCTCGAGGGGAAGGACCGTCTCTCATATCAGTGTTTTTCTGCCTAGTCAGTGCCTGACATGAAGCAGGTGTCCACTGAGGAAGCATTTCAGTGAATAACAAGGAGAAAGAATCTGAGCATCTCCTTTTGGGGATCAGTAGATTGTGGAACATGGCAAGGCTTTCTCTTGGGCTTTCCATTGTTTTGGAGCAGGTCTAGTTTTTTTTAACATTCAGACAGAGTCAAGAACGTTTTTGCCCATTTGCTTCCCTTTGTATCACTGTCCCAAATATCATGCACTTGATTATTCTCTGCCTTCTTTCATATCTGCTTTCAAAGAAACTTAGCTCTCTCCTAAGTGCTGTGGCAATAAATGCAGCTCTGCTATGTGTCCCCAGCCATCACTGCCCAGTTCCAGGCTAATCCCTGGCGTTGCCTAGCTACTCTAGGCAGCCTGGATACTGCATTTACAGCCACTGTGGGAATTATATATTTATTTCCCACAGATTTATTGAGCTTTCATTATGTGTGAAGCTGTGCATTGGTTTCATGTGAAATACAGAAATGAATGTCACAGTGGTTGTGCGTTCAGTGGAGCCTTTGAAAGTTGGGATGGTGAGGTGGCTGGGCCAGAGAGGGATTAATTACATACACAGGTGGTACAGAGGGATGGTGGACTAGCTAAGCTTTGAGGTCTTACGTTGTTGTGGGATTTAGTGTTGTTTCAGTAGTTTAGGAGTCTACCTGGTGCAAAGAAAAAAATGGGAATTAAAATTCTATTCATCACGGTAGACACCAGAACCTTGTGGTGGGTCTGGGAGAGCAAACTGCTAGATCACCTCTTATTGGGCATTCTGAAGGGAAGAGGCAGTTTTGAGAATCAGCCACTTAACAGTCATTGCTTTGTACATGGAGCTCTGGGACATCACTCAACTAGATCACAGTGGTTCTTCTTATGGGGCCATTGTGGACTGTGTGGATGAATGTGTGCATGCTCAGTCATGTCCAACTCTTTGTGACCCCATGGACTGTGGCCTGTTAGGCTCCTCTGTCCATGGGATTCTCCAGGCAGGAATACTGGAGTGGGTTGCTGTTTCCTACTCCAGGGGAATCTTCCTGAGCCAGGGATCGAACCTGCGTCTCCGGCACTGGCAGGTGGATTCTTTACCACTGAGCCACCTGAGAGGTGGTGGATGAATGCTTTGAGTCAGCTTCCCTATATGTAGGGTGGTTCAGGGAGGTGCTGTTGTGATAGCCTTCTCCATGGGGTAGCCTTCTGCTGACTGTCCTCTGTGTGGACAGGACTGTCTCCTGGAGTGCTCTGTTGCATTGGGAGCAGTGATGTAGCCAGCTGCTTCCCTGAATATCCCAATTGCCTCTCTTCCTGGCCTGTACCTTGTCCAGTTATTGAATTTGCCCAACCCTGGATGGGATACAACTTGCAAAGCCTGGAAGATTAAAGAAGCTAGATCATTTTCCTTCCAGGATGAGTTATATGTCTTTCTCAGGACCTCCGGTGTGGCTTTCTCTTACTGCCCAGTGACTGACCAATTGTAAAGCAAGTCTGAGAGAGGGGTGCTCCTTCTGCAAGCCTTAAAAGCTTTTAGTAATTCTGCCTAGTTGGTAGAAATTGGAGGTTTCCCCACAGGGTTAGCTATTTCTTTGTGAATTGACCCTTGATAAATGAATTTTTACTGAAGTCTTGGCTTCCTTTAGGGGCACTTTGTTTTGTCAGAGCTTTTCATTTGGGGAAGCAGTATATTACTGAACTTTGGGTATTAGTGTAGTACTCAAAACTGAAGCCTAAAAAAAAAACCCAAAAAAACTGAAGCCTAGACATTCGATCTATGGCCAAGGATGTTTTTAGAGTAAGTGAAGCACTAAGGTGATAAAAATGTACAAGGCTCTGTTAATTGGTTTAGTACTTGTTTTTGTGATGTGGCTGGTATTTAGGCTCATTATCAGTCATGAGACTCTCTTTGGTTACAGGTATCTGCTTCCATTATTATGGTGTGGGACAAAGGGTGGAAACAGGAGATAAAAATATGGTGAACTCCGTGTTGCCTTTGAGTGGTTGGCTCTTTTGCTTATTGGTGCTTTGAGAAGAGTGTGTTAAATGAGTGAGTGGCTTGTTTTTGTGTCTTGAAGAGCATTTACTCAGGGTTAGTTCTTCCCAGAACTGTCCACAGTTGGTGTTGGCTGACAGTACTGGTTTTGTGAACACAGGCCCAGCAGGTTGGTGGACTGCCACCTTTAAATTGGCTTCTGGTTTCTGGGAAGTCATGGATGTTTTTCTCCTAGAAAAGCTTCTTGGCTCACCCCGTGGAATAATCTTCATGGACTGAAAAGGTAGGCAGACGCTTCCTTTTCCAGTCAGTGATGGACTGTTTTGCCTTTACTATGCAGAGCCCATGTTCTGGGGCTCCAGGAAGTAGTAGCGCGTGCATATTGTATACCACCCTGCCCTTTTATATGTTAACTGTTTCTGCCCGTGAACTTCTGCAGATCATGTCCTCCTTGAACTCTTACCCTCTCCTTCCTCATTTCTGTTCTAAGGAAACTTAGGGCACCGAGCTAGGTCCGGACTGTAAAATCAGGTGCTAGTCACCCCTGACTGCAACAGGGCTTCTTCAGAAGAGACATCTCCCTTTGTCTGTACCATCCCCAAAGTGATGAGGCAAAACCATCCTTTTGCACAGCATCTTAAAATCACATGGGGGCTCTGTACCCACTGTGGATGTGTGGCTCAGCCCTGTGTCAGGGTCTTCAACGGGTGATAGGAAAGAATCACTGTTGTCAAACTGATCCCTTACCAGGGCCTGTTACCAAGTAAGAAGTAAACTGTAGTTCTGAATAGACAGTGATGGAGGTGGGGAAAGTCCCAGTGCTGGTGCCTGGGATACCATGGTGCCTGTTTTTCGGGCTGGTGCAAGTTGTACCAACAATTAGACCTTCATTTTTCAGGAGCCCTCTAAGTGTGTGAGTTGGGCTGTGCGTTTCATTTTTACCTTCTCCTCAGGGCCTAGTGTATTGCCAAGTTGTTAAAGGGGTGAAGTTGCTTGGGTGTTGATTGTGCAGTGTGAAAACGGCCTGGCTCCTGATCGTGATGGTTCTGTCTTTCAGCCCTGGGCGTTTCCTGCTCGAGAGTTCCTTCGGAAGAAGCTGATTGGGAAAGAAGTATGCTTCACGATAGAAAACAAGACTCCGCAGGGGCGAGAGTATGGCATGATCTACCTTGGAAAAGGTGAGTAGCAAGGGGGAAAGGGCTTGTTTTTCCCTAAGTCTAAAGTTTCTCCCAAGATCAGTTTTCACCTGGTGTAGGTGGCTCTGGACGGTTGGCTGTGGGGTCTCACTGGGAGGGTGCAGAGCTCGGGGTACGTAGGTGCAGAGGAACGGCCCTGATACACCTGCTCCTTGTTCACCCTGTGCCCGCTTTCCTGCCTCGGTTTAGATGTGTGTGTACAATGTAGTATTCGTTTTCTCCATATGCGGGCCATCAGCCCATCAAACTCACTGGCTCTGTGCGTCTAGGTCAGAGTGCTAATTGAATTCCTATAGATTTCCTATTGCATCTTCTATTTCCTTTATCTGTCTTGTGGCTTTTCTTCTCCCTTCTTTTCTCTTTAAGAAAATAGGATTTGTTTAGGGCTTGTGGTTTTTTTGCAGACCACATGATTTGTAACGGAGTGGAAAGAACACAGGTTTCGGAGTGGTGTGATGGGGGTTCCTGGTTCTTATACTGTGCACTCTTACTTGTTTTTAGTCTCTAAGTCATCTCTGACTCTTTGTGACCCCATGGACTGTAGCCCACCAGGGTCCTCTGTCCATGGGACTCTCCAGGCAGGAATACTGGAGTGGGTTGCTGTTTCCTTCTCCAAGGACAGAGTATGTACTCAGTAAATATGTTTGTGTGTGCACACAGATACGCCTGTGGTGTAGCTGTTTAACTGTAGCTGCCATTTGAAATTTAATTTATTTATTTAATATTTTCAGATGCGCAGGGTCTTTGTTGTTGCGTGGGCTTTCTCTAGTTGTGATGAGCAGGGTCTGCTCTTTGTTGCGGTATACAGACATCTCATTGAGGCGGTTTTTGTGTTGCGGAGCACAGGCTCCAGAGAGAGCTCAGTAGTTGTGGCACATGGGCTTGGTTGCTAAGGGGCACTGCCATTTAAAATTTAAAGTTGTATTTAGAAATTTGCTTTCTAAACTGACCCACATGACAGAGTGGATATAATTTAGCGTGTTAATAATGTACTGTTTGATTTGATAAAACCTGGCACATAGGAGATGATTGATAAGTATTTACTAAGAGTAATTTTGAAATTATCTTCATCTTTCAGTTTCAACCGCTTAATGGCTTAAAGTTTAATATTTTCACACGGATATTTTGACTGACTCTCGGTGCCAACTGCAATGAAACAGTGCTTTCGCTAATTAATTAGCGTTCATACATTTATCCTATTTTGTGGCTACTCTTTTTTTTTTGCTATATGTAGATGGATTGAAATACTCATTTAACTATAGTTGACTTACAGTATTATGTTTCAGGTATGTAGCTTCTGATTCTTTTCCATTATAGATTATGACAGGATATTGAATATAATTCCATGTGCTGTGCAGTAAATTCTTATTTACATGGCTACCGGGTTTTTTTGTTTGTTTGTTTTTGGCTGTGCTGCACAACTTGTGGGATCTTAGTTCTCTAACCAGAGATTGAACTTAGGACCCTAGCAGTGAGAGTATGGGGGTGTAACTACTGGACCTCCAGGGAATTCTCCTGTGAATACTCTTTTTATGATGGAGGAGAATAATAGAATATGAGAATTTGTGGTTAACCTAGAACTTATTTTTTTTTTTTTTAAGGGAGAGATGATTGATTAATCTTCAAATTGTGGGATAAATACAGTCACCCACCTATTCTGAATACCAGCCTCAATTGTGACTTGATCAAATTTGTACTTTGATTAGTAATAAGCGAGTGTTGTATCTTTGTCCTTCAGATTCCATGTTTTCAGCACTCTATCCATCACATTTTGTTGCCTTCTCTTGGTCCAGAGAATTTTGTTTTTCTCCCTTTTGAAGGAGCAATCAACTCATTTAAAAATGAGCCAGCCAGCAGCCCTTTCAGAGTGCTCTGTGCCAAGGAATGGTCTGAGAGCTATTGGGTTTGCTGTTAACCAGTTGGTTTTATGGCCATTCACCTTCTTTGTACCTTGCCTTTATTCTTTCTATGCACTGACCTGTTGACACCTTACTGCTTAACTTTTCCCATAATTGTGGAGTTCTTCCTTTTGACTTCCCACTCTGTGGGATTATTCCTATTGCTCTGAAAGATTCAGTGTAATATTTATTGATGGCAGATAGCTGTGTGCATCTGTGTCTGGCCTCAGCAGTAACTCCAGTGCAAAGGTTCTTGTGATTCACCTTCATCTTCAGAACCTGAACTTTCTTTGTATGAACAGCATTCATCTCAGCCTTTTGTGTGTGTGGTAGAAAAAGGGGCTTATGATTTGCCTCAGAAATTTGGACAGGGCTAATGGCAGGGCATTTAGGTTGGATTTGGGCCTAGTATGTAGACTTCTTGTTGCTTGCAGAATTCAATGAATGCATGGCATACTGAATATAAATCTTACAGAATTTTATTCTACGCTGATGTAACCTATCAGCTAGACTGCTGTGTTTCAGTTTATCGAGGAGCTTGTTCTCGGCTATATTAAAGATTTTTATGTGGTGATTCCCTCATAGATGTCTTCTTTTATCGTTTTGGCTGACAAGCAGAGATTTAAGAATACACTGAGCCTAAAAGCTTTTTCAGTAGCATGGAAATGCAATTAATGGTCCTGGTGCCCAGGTGGAGCCTAATCGGGTTGTGTTTTTTGTTTCACTTCATTTTTCTTGCCTGCTCTGAAGGCTGCTGTGTGAGATTGGAAGTCTGGATTCTCTCCCTTGCATCTCTTTAGAACACGAGAGTGTGTTTATCAACTGATGTAGCTTGTCTTGGTGGCCTCCTGGAGCAGAGATTAGGACATCCTGAGAGGGACTGGACTCTGGTGTAAAATGTAAATGGGCCGTGCTAAGTGCCTCTGCTGTCTGATTGTCCAGGTGTGGGGCTGCCTTTGGATTCTGTTGTTTTATTTTTTTTTTTATTTTTTGGATTCTGTTGTTTTAATTCCTGCTGTGTGCTTGGCACTGCACTTGATGATTTACACACATTGAATTCCCATGAGAACCCATCTAGTCAGGTTCTCTTCCCATTTTATAGGTGAGTATGTGTACTGAGGTGCTGAGAGAGCTGTGAAGTGGCAGCGTTTGTATTGGGCACCAGCCTCTCCTCCTTAGGTCAGTGTTATTTATCCTCTCCCCGGCTGCTACTTGAGCCTTGCTTTCCTGTCAGTCTCCTGGAGTTCCTGAGATTGCCTTTGGCTTGGAAGATACACTAAGAAATAAATCCAGAGAAGATGTATCGACCTCTGGGTCCTAGAGATGAGACATTTTGAGGGAGAAGAGGTTTTTCTGAAAAACCCAACCCCAGCCTGCTGCCTTGTCCAGTTAGTGGGTAGCATTATTCCTTGAAGAGCTGAGGGTGAAAGTGGTCCCAGTAAGAGCCTTTTTGCTATTGGAGATGAATTTAGACCCAAGATTCATGTCTCTTTTTTTTCTTTCTCAGATACCAATGGGGAAAACATTGCAGAATCGCTGGTTGCAGAGGGCTTGGCCACCCGGAGAGAAGGCATGAGAGCTAACAAGTGAGTCTGCACTGCTCTCCTGACCCTCAGACTTCCTCCCCTCCACTGTGAGAGCTGGGGGAGTGGATTCTGCACTCGCTTTAATGCATTTTCATTCCTGCCCCCTGACATAAAATGGGTATCATCTGGGGTTCTCCTGGCTTCTAGAACATTCCTGCCCAGGTATAGGTGTGTATTGTTCTGAGTGAGGAGGTTTCTCAGCATTCGTGAATGGCATTTTGTATGTGTAATCAAAAACTTCTTTGCTTGGCGACAAAGAAGTGCTATGCTTCATATCATAAGAGTCAGTAGGCTTGTTTCTTAAACCACTGATATTCGGTTCCAGAATTTTTATCTATCCATCCCCAAATATTTGTTGAGCATGTATGCCAGGCTATGTTCTAGGCACTGTGCATATAGCAGTGAACAAAGACACTTAGCTTCTAACAGTTTAACCGGGAGACAAACAACAAACCGATCAACAAATAGATGTACAATATTATATCAGGTATACAAGGAATAAGTAAATGCAGAATAAAGCAGAGTGAATAAATAAAATTCAAAGCAACATCTGCTGCTTGGCATATAGGAAAACTGACAGGGGCTGAGTGGTTCTGTTTTTCAGAGAAAATTTCTGTCTCTCCAAAGCCTCTTATGTCTGTTTTGGCTTATGGATCTGTAGATACTTAAGTAATAAGGTAAATGTGTTTGTTGTTAATAGCACTGTGAATTCGTTAGAAATGAGTGTTAGGTTTATGGACTTCCAGGCGACTCAGATGGTAAAGAATCTGCCTGCAATGCAGGAGACCCTGGTTCGATCCTTGTATTGGAAAGATCCCCTGGAGAAAGAAATGGCAGCCCACTCCGGTATTCTTGCCTGGGAAATTTCATGGAGCCTGGTGGGCTACAGTCTGTGGGGTCACAAAGAGTCAGACACGACTGAGTGACTTCAGTGTCAGGTTTATAGTGCATATGTCAGGTTCAAGTTCACCAGTTTTGGCTCCTCAGAAGGACGGGGGTTGTAGCTGGCTTTAATTAGCACATTAAAAGTGCTAATCTGAAAAGTGCACATCTGAAAAGTGATAATCTGCATCAGTAATTTGGATGCTGTTTGGCTATTATTTTTTTGGCCAAAATGGCTTATGGAATCTTAGTTCCCTGACCAAGGATTGAACCTGGGCCATAGCAGTGAAAGTGCCAAGTCCTGACTACTGGAAAGTCAGGGAACTCCTGCTGTTTAAATCATTAAGTCCATGCTGTATTACGACTGTAACTGTAGAAGAAGCTTTAGATAAATATTTGCATGAACTATGCCAATGATAGGGACGAGCAAAGGCCAAAATGTACAGTTTGCATCCTTCTTTGTGATCAAGTCATTCATCCTATAGTTCTCTGATCCTTCCCAACTCAAAAGAGTCTTTGGCTAGAGCTTATGATTGGAGTGTGAGTGAGCATGTGGGAATTTGTTGAATTTTGACACTTGTCTTAGGTGCTGTGTATGGAAGCACGCTGAAGCTGTATTTTAAGGACAGTTGCTGGCATTTTCCCGTTGTAATGTTTTTTGGAATCCAGTTTGCAGCCAGAATGAAGAATTATAAAAAAGCCTACAGCAGTATTGTACCACCTCAACAAAGAAATCCCTCCAGGAGTCCCAGTCTTTTTTTACTCCAAAGTTGTCTTGACTTCTTTTCTCAGTTTCAGTGTTTTTGCTTCTATCTCAAGCTACATTTCACCCCCCCCACCCCCGCCCCCATCAAATTCTGACAGAAAATTTGGATCTCTGAAGATGATAATTGTCTTTTTTTTTTTTTCTTTTTCTTTTTTTAATGGGGAGGAGGGAAAGAGCCATACTGAAGACTTCTGGTTTGAGAAATTGTAGGTCATGCTCCCTGTTGAAAATCCTTACCGACCAAGGTGGGAGGGTCAATTTCTCTAGATGCCTGTTGATGGAACGAGGTGTTGACATTGTGGAAAGCCTTTCCAGTGTTCACTTCAGCTCAAATTCAGATGAGAGAGTGAAGAGTAGAGCCATTTCTGGGTTTGGTTGTTTTTGATGGCTTTTTTTTTTTTTTTGGAGGGGGAGGGGGTGAGTGATCTATCTATTGGGTTTCTGCTCTGGTGCATAGTTTGGTTTCTTGTCTGATGAAAGAGTCTTCCATCTTCAAACTCCTTTTGCTTCGCTGGCCTTATGGCAAGTGTAAGTAGTGTTGGGGTGACACTGTCTGTAATAATGATATTTGTTCTGTATTCCCCAGTCCTGTTCTGCAGATGACAGGGAGTAAGGGTGATTCTTAGTCACTTTTGCTGCACTGCGTCTGGCTGAGGTCTGCCTGGATTCTAGTTCCTGAATCTGGGGTGGTTAAATGAAACTCTCCCGCCTGGAGTGGCTCCCTTGTAAGCCACCAACTTGTTCTTTTGTAATCACTCATGGTGCAGTACTGAAAGAGTGGTCTGCAGATATTCTCATTAAATGCTGTTACAATTGAGTCTTTTGTTGGAGGGAATAAATCTGGAATCTGGAAGTTGCACTCCAGATAGGTTTCTGGTTACAGACCTGGGTCTGAAACAATTGCTTTGGTTTTTTCCAAGCAGAGAAGATGCTGTAGATACCCAGAGTCAAAGATGATCCTGATATTTCTCTTGTGAACTCATTAACCACGCTTATTTCTTCTTTTTCATGTCTCAGTCCTGAGCAGAACCGCCTTGCGGAATGTGAGGAGCAAGCCAAAGCAGCTAAGAAAGGGATGTGGAGTGAGGGGAACGGTTCACATACTATCCGGGACCTCAAGTATACCATTGAGAACCCAAGGCACTTCGTGGACTCCCACCACCAGAAACCTGTCAACGGTGAGGCTGTCGGGGAAAGACAGATATGACTCAGGGTGATTTCTCTCTATTTGCTGTCGAGCTCCTTGAGGTTAATAAAGCAGATTCTACTTTAGTACCCATGGAGAATTGTTAAGGGTAGAACAACGCCGTGGTATTTTGGAAGGGAGCTTTCATCCAGTTCATATAGGCATCAAATGTATTTTGCAGAGAATAGTCCTTTGCTGCTGCAGAGTAGTAAATTGCTGGTAATTTTGCACATGGGGGATCTTCCTGTTTTCTCTAAAAAATGGCTATCTCTAAATACCACCTCTAAAACTTCAAGGTAGAAATATGTATTCTTTATATATCTAAACATTTATGCATGCACACACGCCCCCACACACTATAGTTCTCAGTTCTACTTTGAGACCTTATTAACTTGCAGACTCAGTAAAATAAAATGATTACTGATCCTGAATTATTGTTAGTTTTTGCCAGGCACTCAGTACACAGATGAGCAACCTGGCTTACAGATAACAGAGCTTAGGTATGAGCCAAGAGTTCCCAGAAAGTTCAAAAGATATACAGTTGGTTTGAATTTAATCCTCCTGGAGTAGTTTGGGCAGGAGTCTGTGTGAATACTCGTGATCTGCCAGTGCTTCGTCACCTCCCAGAGCGGGGCTTTCTCGGGATTTGGGAAGAGGAACTGTGCTCCGGGCAGTGTGATGGGGCGTTGTTTCTCCTTGGCACGACCTGTGTCACTCAAGCCGTTCGTTCTGTCTTGCAGCTATCATCGAGCACGTGCGGGACGGCAGTGTGGTCAGGGCCCTGCTCCTGCCAGATTACTACCTGGTCACGGTCATGCTGTCAGGGATCAAGGTCAGCTCATATGCTGGGCTATGGGGTGGTTCATGGAAGTGTTCAGTGATGGGGGGACTTGGTCTATACCATTTCTTTTAGTATGGGCCGTTAACATTGACTGGAGTACTTTAAACTTTGCAGTGGTGCAGTTCTATTTAGATCAAATAATACTTTTTTAAGTACTCAGTGTCTGTTTGGAGTGGGCTGTGCAGAGATGGTTGAAACCTAGAGAGGAGGGGATGGGAAGCCAGTCCATGGGATCACAAAGACTGAGCAACTAGGTATGCACACGCAAAGTTTGCCGAGTGTGTTGTCTTAATGTAAAATAACCATTTTGATTAAAGAAAAAAATCAGGGATTTAAAGCGAGACACTGGTGTATCTCTTCTTGGCAAGGGGTCATTTTCAAGTGTAATTAATGATTTTCCCCATGTTGTCATGAGTTTTATTTTGCTTTACGAAGAAGTCTCAGTGGATGATATTTCCAGTTGCTTTTTATCAGTGTGTTTTTAGGAGGGTTGGAAGACCTGATTAGACACCTTTCCCAGCCCAGCTTTGTGGCTTTGTGCTGTTTGGACTGTTCCCTGTGGGCTGAGCTTGCCCAGCACCCATGCGCCTGCCTCACTTGTCCTTTAGTGCCCAACTTTTCGACGGGAAGCAGATGGAAGTGAAACACCAGAGCCTTTTGCTGCAGAAGCCAAATTTTTTACTGAGTCTAGACTGCTTCAAAGAGATGTCCAGATCATCCTGGAGAGCTGCCACAACCAGAACATTCTGGGTACAATCCTGCACCCGGTGAGTGAGCCTGGCAGACTGGACCACGCGGGGCGAGGGTCCCCTTGGGGTTTGAAGAGCTGCATTTGGCTTCTGTTCTTCCTCTTTGTGTTTAGGAACCATTGAAATATCTTGGTAGGGTTATCATCTACTGACTTTGAGACCTTTTTAGGGAGTTATCCGTTCTCTGATAGAATTGGACAGATTTGCAACTTTGTACTTTTAGAAAACTAATCTCAGTTATGAGGAAGGACGCTTGCACTTATTTTCCCAGATGCTAGTCCTAAAGATTGCCAGTAAGAAAGGTAGGAGGTTGCCACATCAGTTAAGAAGTGGCAGTGGAACTTGTAGAATGGGATTGGTGAGGTTTGCAAGTAGGTTACCTGTTTGGAGTACAGTAAGTCCCCTACAGAGGAAGGAGTTCAGTTCTCAGAGTGTATTTGTTAGGTCTAGTTTGTTTGTAAGTTAGCCTTGGTACCCAAATAATACAGCTGGCTATGTGCTGCTGGCTTTTATGCTTCTTTCCAGATATCCTGGGCTTGAAATGAAGATACTGTACTCCTGTACTTTATACAGTACTGTACAATAAAGTACACAAAAGCGCAACCACTTGTAGAGGATGCATGCACGTGACAGTGTATGCCACACTCGTGAACTCACTTTCATGGCTGGACATGCAAACGCACGTTCATATCATTGAAAGTTTGAAACTTGAAGGTTCACATGTAGGGGACTTACTATGTGGGTAGAACTGTCATGAGGAAACATTCCTTTGGAAAAACTGTGTCTCAGGCCTTATTCAGTTGCTGCCTAATGCTGCTTTTCAGTAGGAAGTAGATTAAGATCTTGTAGTTCTGACTACTGGGAGTTTTACCCTAGTGTATACTTTGGTAGGTGGGATATTTTGGATGGGAAATTGCTTAACACCCAGGTTTAAATAGATTGTCATTGTAACCCGTATCCAGTACCAGAATAAACTACCGTTTTTCTTTGGCTAAAGAATTCTTTCATGATGGCCGTTGTGGAACGCTGGGAGACTTGGTTTGGAATGTGCCAAGGTCATGTCTATTTCTTCTGAAGTGCTCGCTGTCTGCCGGGGCCCTGCCAGATGGCTCTGTGTCACTGTAGAATGTGAATTGTAATTCACGGGGCAAAATGTAACTGTAGTTATTCCCTTACTCAGCCTGTTCTTTGGCTCTCCCCTTATGAAAAGGGGAGTAGATGCTGATCTCAGGGAAGGAAATAAGAAGGTATAATCTCTACTGAAGATTAACATCCTCTGTCCACAAGAAGAGCTATTGAAATGCCGATTCCATTCAATGCCACTAACATTTATCCTACCCCTGTTAAGTACGAGTTACTGTGCTGGGTGCTGTGGGGATATGAAGCCAGGGCTGATGAAGGGAGTCACAGAACAGCGTCTGTCCTCATAGGGCTGGTTTCTTCATGAGAGAAATGACTCCACTTCATTTTTTTTTTTAACTAAAAAATAGATTGTGGCTATGTTAATCACGTCAGAAGTCAAGAGAAACGGATTCCCTTGCAACAGAATCTAATCTGTGCCTGCCTTATTTTTTAGAACGGCAACATCACAGAGCTTCTCCTGAAGGAAGGTTTTGCCCGCTGTGTGGATTGGTCTATTGCAGTCTACACACGGGGCGCAGAAAAGCTGAGGGCAGCTGAGAGGTAAGGCCTGTCAGGGAAGCCTTCTAGCCAAGGATCTTGGTATAGGGTACTCCAGGGGAAGGAACCTCGGGATCTTCTCTCACCCAACCATGTCAATGTACAGGACTGGAGAAATGCCAGAAGAAACTGGGATCTCGTAGAGGAGTGACTGGCTTACAATCTCTGGGTTCAGTCTAATTCAGGGCTGTCTACTGATTTTTCACTCAAACATTATTGGTCACCTGATTTGCTTTATTATGTTTTCATTTCACTTTTTTTTCCAAGCTTCTTGCTTAAATTTCAGGTTTTAGGCATTTGAAGTGAAATAAAACTTGAGGCTCATTTGAGGACAGTGAAATACCTTACCGGCTCCTTCCTGACGTGCAGGCTGGAGCCAAGTGTATGATGGAAAGACAGAGCCTGTGGGTCCCTAAATAGGCTATCCAATGTTGCTGCAAAGCCTGATGCCCTAATTTATCGAACTGTATGCTGTAGTTATAAATGCTAATACAACTGTAAGTTGTGTTTTTGGCTGGGTGCACCATAGTTAAAGCAGATGGAGCAATAACTGATTTCTAGAAAAATGATAGTGGATATGCCAAAGATCAGTGGCCATTTCAGGTGTTTCCAGGTATAGGTGAACTTGAGTCTCCAGGTGGAAAAAAATGAAGCAGATAGATGAATAGAGATGAAATCATGTTCATAAAGTCACACCCACTACCTCCCAGGATACGTTTAGGTAGAAGGCCAGGACCACTGGTGCCATTCCGCTCAAGCCTGTGTGGTTTATTTCAGAGTCATGCAATTTACAGTTTTTTGCCTTTGAGGAGCACAACGAAGAGGTGTGTAAGAACATGAATTGAATTTCTCCTTTCTTAGGTCTCTTACAGCCTTCTCTACTTGTAAGCAGAAATACTTAGAACTTTTTGTAAAAATAGATTTTAATCTGGGCCATTTAATATAGCATACCTGACAAGGTAGGTGCTTGGAAAAAACACAGTGATTGTATACATTGTTTAGTCTTTTTATGTTCCACAGTTAAATTCAAAAGATACAAAACACTATTGAGCACAGCTTTCCAAATATTTCTGATTATTTGTGATGCTCAATTTTTTTTGTTGTTGCCATTGTTCAGAAAATCCTATAGGTCTGTTTTTCTAAATTATTATTTTGGTTGATGATTCTTTTTGCCTTCTTTAAGTCCTTCCTCTCTTTGAAGAAAGTGAGTTACAGTGACAGTAGTTTCTACATGTTTTATGACATCTACAGGAGATTTTTAAGATGGCTCATCATTAAAAAACAGATTTAGACCAAGGAATGCAGATCATATTTCAATGATATGATTACTTGCCTACTGTTTTGCATGCTGTGTTAGAACTTGCTTGCATTGTCGGTAAATCTCTATTGAGGTATTTCACATGTTTTTACAACTACAACATGCTGCTTTTGTCTTTTCACATTTTAGCACTGTTTTGAAAAGCTGCAATATCATTTTCAGAAATAACAGTTTAATAGTTCCTTTGCCCTACATCCTTTTATTTCTAAATAAATACTTTGACAGTTTTTCACTGATAGAAAATATATGTGTGTGTATGTATATATGTAAATCTTTGCACATGTTCCCTGTCCCTCTCTTATTCTGACTCAAAAAGTCTTTTCTGGGCTTTGTACTCTAAAACAAATGTTTACCAACATGATTTTTTAACTTTTGTTTAAATTCTGTTGGATTATTGTCCATTTTTCTTCCTCATTAGATGCACTATAGTGACCATTTTGTTCATGTTTTCCATGTGGGATTTGGGTAGCTAATAACCTTTTTATATATTTAAATATTTCCTTATGCATTCATTTTATTTATTTTTTATCTTTTGGCCACTCTGTGTAGCATATGGGATCTTAGTTCCCTGACTAGGAATTGAACCCATGTCCCCTGCACTGGCAGCATGGAGTCTTAACCACTGGACCACTGGGGAGGTCACAGTGCTCTTTTATTTTTGAAGAATGTTTGTCTTTCATAATCAAACAGTAAACTCAGAGCACAATGACTATGTCCTACTCAGTCTTCAGTAGCATCACCGACTCAATGGATATGAGGTTGAGCAAACTCCGGGAGATACTGAAGGACAGGAAAGCCTGGTGTGCTACAGTCCACGGGGTTGCGAAGAGTCAGACTTGACTGAGTGAACAACAACCTTTTTATAATGCAAATAGAAATGAGCAGGCTTATGATTCTTAAAAAATACTTTTGTTAGATGTGTACGCTCTTCCCTCCCACTTAAGAGAGCAGTTACTGTCACCCCAGCGCCTGGCATTTAGGAATCACTTGAGAGGTACTTGATACGCCAAAGAGCTAGTTAGCAAGATAGACTTCTACTTTCCAGGCTTGAGAAAGGGTGTATCCAGATCCCAGCCTGTCAGCCGTGGGTTTATGGCATATATGCATGTGGTATTGTTTCAGCTGCTGTATAGTTTTCCTTGTGGCGGTCACACTTTGTGCTGGTCTGATTAGCTTTTTCTCCTGGGTGCCTTGTCTGCGAGATAGGGTAGGGTTTTGTACTGTTTGTTCCTGTGATGGTGGTGGTTTCCGTTGCTGCCCTAGTCCCACTGAGTGATCTGAATCCTTGCTTTGTTGCCAGGTTTGCCAAGGAGCGCAGGCTGAGAATATGGAGAGACTATGTGGCTCCCACTGCTAATTTGGACCAAAAGGACAAACAGTTTGTTGCCAAGGTGAGTCATTCTCAGCATCTGGCGCTGCACTGTGCACGCTGTCAGGCTAGTGATAATACAGAGATCTGAATAATCAGTCAAGGGCTGAAGCGTTTCTCTTGAAAGGCAAAGCACTGATGCGTGCATATGTGTGTGCGTGATTGCCTGCATGGGTGTGTTTGTTGTAAGGAACTTGGAGACTATAAGAACGTAAATTTCTGCTGTAGATTTGCAAAACTTCATTAGAAATTCATGGGTTAAAATTGTGCACCTTGACCCTTTGAAATCTCTTATATGCTGGAGGTTCTGTCTGTCTGCTTAGCAAATGACATTCTCTTAGATTGCTTTCTTTCTTTCTCACTTGCCTTTTTTTTTTTTTCTTCTGCTTGTGCTGCACGGCTTGCAGGATCTTAGTTCCCACCAGGACTTGAATCCCAGCCATGGCAGTGAAAGCGCTGAGTCCTAATGACTGGATCACCAGGGAACTTCCTCTCTTAGATTTCTTATGCCCAAGGGTATAAGACCTCAAATTTCTCTTCTTTCTGGTTTGAGACTCTTGTGGTTTTTTATTTTTTTCTAACGTAGAATGTTGTTGTGGTTATGACTTTCTTCTATTGTGATGTGTTTTTCTGAGGTCTCTCCACTTTGCTGGGATGGGTTTCTCTGAAGGGAACTGAATTACCGAATAGATTGTTTGGATCCAGCAACAGTGCTGTAAAAGTGTTTTTTTGAAAAAACGTCATCGCGGGGTTTGGTACTTTGAGCGGTAGAACCTATAGTAGACCTCGCTTTCCCAAAATTGCTAATGTTTTTAACTTATTTTTACTTTCGGCAAGACATGCTGGAAGCTTTGTCATAATGGACTTAAAATAGTTAAAATATCCATATCCTTGAACTGAGAAGTGACTGTCCCAAATGTCCAACGGTGAGTTTAAGGTGGAGAGCCACTAGGTGGCACTGTCAGCCTGAAAACTTTTGGAATGCTTTCTCTTAGACTGGTAAAATTTTAACAAGTCTCCAAGGAATTGACTGGATTTCTTCACTTTCTTTTTTATGATGCCCAAAGCAGTAGGTCACGGAGCGCTCAGGCGGCCCCTTTCCTCTCCTAGTAGATGGTCTGTCTCTACCCCAGCTGTCGGGTTAACTGTAGTCGTGCCTTTCAGGGGACGTTAGTTGAAGGAGCTCCTGATTGGATTCTCCATATGTGTTTTTCACATCTTGATGCAGATCAAAATGGACCGCTGCTTCTTTGTGTGAGGACCACACCAGCTTGGGAACTTGGACATAGAAGCTCTGCCAATTGGAATTTACTTGTGTTTATGTCTTCCTGTAATCTGTCCTAAGGCTATAGAAGGACATAGCTACACAAGGAAAGCATGGCCATTCACTCACCAAGGAGGCAGGCCTTCCATTTTTCAGCATCATCACAATTCCAGTGATACAGATGACCCTTGGGAGAGTCTCATTACACTGTCCTGTCCCTACCTGCCCCTCCTCAGTTGAAACTGAATTGGTAGAGAAACCTGGAAGATTTGGAAGGGCTTTGGGCCTTGGCTACTTGGGAAACTAAGGCATTGCTGAAGAAAAATTCTTCATCTAAAGGATTAGATGATTGAGCCAGCGGCTTTACATTTATCCTGAGTATGATTTTATTGGTAACTTGAGAAAGGAGAGCTTTAGGACATATAGAACATTCCTTCCGTTTTGAAAAAATCCAGGATCTCAGAATCTATTTTTGTCTTTTTTGTTTTAAAACAAAGTGAGCCTTTTTTTTTTTAATTACAATGAAGTTTTATTTTTTACAATGCCAGAAGAGATTATCTTTATAAAAGCCATCTGATGGATGAAACTGGAGCCCATTATACAGAGCGAAGTAAGCCAGAAAGATAAAGACCATTACAGTATACTAACACATATATATGGAATTTAGAAAGATGGTAACGATAACCCTATATGCAAAACAGAAAAAGAGACTCAGATGTATAGAACAGACTTGTGGACTCTGTGGGAGGAGGCGAGGGTGGGATGTTTCAAGAGAACAGCATCGAAACATGTATATTATCTAGGGTGAAACAGATCACCAGCCCAGGTTGGATGCATGAGACAAGTGCTCGGGCCTGGTGCACTGGGAAGACCCAGAGGGATCGGGTGGAGAGGGAGGTGGGAGGGGGGACCGGGATGGGGAATACATGTAAATCCATGGCTAATTCATGTCAATGTATGACAAAAACCACTGCAATGATGTAAAGTAATTAGCCTCCAACTAATAAAAATAAATGGAAAAAAAAAATAATAAAAGACTGAAAAAAAAAAAAAGCCATCTGATTAAGGATCCTGTAGTATCCTAAACATAAATTTAGGTCATTCAGATATAGGCCTATTCAGAGAGTAGAGAGAAAAAGGTTTTCACTGAATTTTTAAAATCCTTCAGGATTATTTTTGTTTTTAAAACAGGAAAAAGCGTAAAAAGAAGGAAAAACACACATACTAGATGAAATTACTATGAAAGAAAAAGTTGATCATACTGTCAACTGTGGGTGCTGGCAAACTGGCCCATGGGCCAAATATGGCCCACCATTGTTTTTGTGTGGTCTGTGAGCTAAGATTGGATTTTACATAGAAAGAAGGGTTTGTGGCACGTTGGAATTATATGAAATTCAAATTTCAGTGTTGTGAGTAAATTGGAACATAGCCACGTCTCTTCGTTTACATATTGTCTGGAGCTGTTTTTGTGGTATTGTGGCAGAGGTGAGAAGTTGTGACAGAGACCATATGGCCTGCAAAGCCTAAAATATTTGTTATCTGGCCCTTTACAGAAAAAGTCTGCTAACCTTTGACCTATACCAGTCCTCCTCAGAATGGTTTGATATGATATAAGGAACTTGAGCCAGAATGTAAATCAAGGCCTTGCTGCTTTCATCAAAAAGATCTTGCTACGGAAAAAATGTCAGCAGTGTTCTCAGTGATGTAGTTGATTTATGTTCTGGTATAAGCGCCTTATCTCATTGTAGACTGGCAGTCACTTTTTGAATAGTATTGACTTGTATTCTTTTGTATATAATTTTTAAGTTGGTAAGTTTTTACTTTTAACATGTAGACATTTTTATTATGTTTTAAAAATTTTATTTATTTTTGGAGTTCTGATGTCAGTGACTTTATTACACCTGAATTTCCTTAACTTTGGACAAAATGAGACATTGACTAATTTAGCAGGCTACATACAGCCTTACAGGCACACTTTCTTATAGGAATATATCTAATACCAACCATAGCAGGTTAGATTAGTGAAGGATTTGACAAATTTTAACTCTAAATTTTTTGCGTAGACATTTTTAAAGAACTCTGTGGGCTTCTTAAGAGAAGTGTACTCTTTTATTTCCCTCTTGCTTGAGGCAACCATTTTCAACTCTTGGCTAATCCACGTCTTTGAATAAAATCTTCAATTGCTTGCTCCTGATATTTCAAGCGTAACCCCTTTTCCTTCACACCATGGAAGATGAGGATTTGGTTTTTTCACACGTGGGTCTGCATGTACTTTTCTTCATGCCTTCTCATAAGACTATATCATAATTCTGGCTCAGTTAATATTCAGTGTTTACTTTGTAAATGCTAATCACTTCCGAGATATATAGCATGTTATGACTGCTTTTCATTTCCTGCATGATTTTTTGTTTTTCTTGGAGTTAATTTTTAAATTTTATGTATATATCTTTTATGTACTTATTAACTCAACCCCCACGTTCTGTCATCTGTTTAAATCTTTTCTCAAGACATGATTCAGGTCATTATTTTTATCTTTTTCCGTAGTACTTTCCAGGAGCCTTGTGGCCTATAACAGTCTAGTTTAGTTTAGTTCTTTTTTTTTTCCTTCTATAAAGGTGTCTTCTTTGGATTTCTTTACCATTATCTTGAGCTTTTCTTTGCCTCACTCCTGGATTGGTGCTATGTTTGCTGACTCTTACGGCTTCATTATGATTTACTACTTTGTTTTGGTGACACACATTCTGTTAGCTTCTTGGGAAAAGAGTGCTTAGGAGGTAGATTTTTTGAAACTGTTCATGTCTACTCTGTTATTACATTTGATAGTTTAGATGGGTATGGAATTTTGTTGGAAGCTATTTTCTTTTAGAATTATGAAAGCATTGCTCCCCTTTTATTTGTTAGGAATTTTTACTTGTTTGTTTTCTTTCTTTATTTCTTTAGTGGCCTGAAATCATTCTGATCTCCCATCCCAGTGCTATGTTTTTTATTTCTATAAGCTCTTAGTAAATTCTTTATTCTGAAATTTCACAATGATGTGCTTTGCTTATCCATGTGTGATCATGTTGTGGTTTAAAAATTAAACCATATTAAAAATTAAATTTTAACTCTTTTGTTGTTGGTTTCCATCTAGTTTCTCGGCTGTTTTTCTAAAATTTCTGTTTGGATGTTTAACTTCATGGACTAGTCCTAATTTTTTCTTACTATTTTCCATTTTTTTGTCTTTTCTTCTTTCTAGATATCTTCATGTTTATCTCTCATCTCTTCTATTAGATATTTTATCATGCTGTATTTTAATTTCTAAAAGCTTCCTTTGTTCTCTGAATGTTTCTCTTAGTGCTATTAAAAAATAACATATTTCAGAGATGAATATCATCTGTTAGTATTTCAGGAATTAATAATAATTTGTTAAAGATTTTTCTCTCCCTGTATAGTCTGTGTTCTCTTAAGTTGTTTTTAATTCTGTTTGGTTATTTTGATCTCTTATTTTCTGTATTAGAGACTTTCTTTAGATATCTGGTAACCTTTGGTGGTCTCTGAAAGAAAGAGGTATTCAGCACTGGTTTAGGAGCAGTATGGAATTTAGGTATTCATCACTGGTTTAGAAGCAGTATGGGATTTAGTGTCTCCATTTTGAAATCCAGGTGCTTCTTACATTTTAAAACAGTCCTAGTTTTGGGGCTTATTTTCATTCCCCCTTGAGATCCCTGATTTGATAGTTTCTCACTCTTGGTGAGTAGGGGAAGTCTGCAGTATAAATC